CCCGTCGTCCGCATCCGCTCCCGTGCCCTCCGCTGCTCCTGCCGTGCCCTCCGCTGCTCCTGCTGTGCCTGCCGCTGCCCCGCGTCCTCCGAGTCCGCCGCCCACGCGCTCCGAGGATCCTCGTTGTTGGTATGTGCCGCCCACACAGACCACGACACGTTCCGGTCGTGTCTCGAGACCGCCGCAACGGCTTGACCTCTGAAGGTCGCGTCACCGCTTCCCCTTGAGGAGGAGGTGGTGTAACGGCCACACCGTTACACATGGACTCTTACCGGTGCGTTACAATGCGCCATGGTCTTGTACTGCGCGTTAGTATGCGCACGGACTCTCCACGGACTCTTGTACAGCGCGATACGATGTGCCACGGTCTACGTAGCCACAGTGTTCCCGCTTTCCCGATTTGGCATGTATCCTGGTTCCTGTTCGAGTCACTCATCGACTGTACCTGGCTCTCGGCGACATCAGGAAAAACCCATTTATCTTGGCAAGGCTTGACCAGGACAGGAATGTCTTATCGAGTCTTCCTGCCCTTGGACGGTGCTGCAAGGCATACAAGGGAACCTTCAGCACCCGTTTTTTGAAGGTGTACCCTTGAGGAGACGAGTATGCCTTGGCAAGGTTACTCTGTGTGCTGTTGGTATCGCCACTGATTACCAAGGACCCTTGTGCTTCTTTATTTCAAGATGCCCAAGGTACTCAAGTAGACATTGTGAACTGTATCGTTAAAAACTACGCCATACAGTATCTACCACAGGGTCTGGTACGAATATTTAGTGGCCCAATTGTTCAGCACAAACCTCGACGCTTTATCAAGTATGGTATGAGTGTTCCAATCCTCAGGTACACGTACAGAAGGCTGAGAAGCAGTGGGTCTTGAAAAATGGGGGATTAACTGGCAGGATTGGCGTATCATGCTCAAAGGTACAATATCGCAAGGTGGTGTACCATCTGTACGTAGAGGAGCTTTCCTCACATCGTACATCATGTGGATGGGATCAGCAGAGGGAGGAAGCTTGGCGTACCACTCCACGTACGCCAGAGGGCCCGCTGCAGCCCATTCCTGAGGTGCAGGCATGGACTCGTTTGTTCTGAACTGCTCTATCCTGTTGGGCAAACGAAATACGACTTTGAGGCGTCCGATACGTGTTCCTGTGTGAGCGTAGTACCCAGCTGAGCATAATTGAAGCAGTAAACATACAGAATTACGTACCTTGAAGACCTGTAGCCTCTGCCTCCTCGCCCTGCAGGACAACAACGGTATCAAACCTGCCAGGCTGCTCACCACTGGCAGGGCGTGCCTTGACTGCATCACGCTCTGGTTTGCTGTCGCTGAGGGGGATTGTGGTAAACTTGAACCCATGGAAGACATCTAGACGTGAAAATGGGAGGTACGACGATGCGGCTTCTACTTCTCTGTTAGTGAGCGGGCGTCCAAGTTTGAGGCGATAGATATACTGGCGAAGGGCCTTGGAAAATCCGGGAGCTTGATGCTTTGCGCCAATAGAGTTGAGGGACTGCTGCGTCACTGAGGGATGCTTCGCCAGCACAATCCCAGCCCTGGGACAGTGCTGACCGTTCTCAGAGGCCCCATCCACATGAGCATCTCCTTCCTCCTCCACAAGCCTCTCACGAAGAGTCTCGTATGTTGCGATCTTTTCCTGGCGTTGGAGCCACTTCACCATTTGGGGGCGGGCATCACGGTGGTTGGACGCACGCCAGGCCTTTTTGGCACAGTCGATATGCAGGTGTTCGAACATTTCTGTGTTGTAGTTGTCAGTGGTGCCAAGAGAGCGAATAGAGTCGACGTAGTGGAGGAGAGAGTGGAATTTTGGTATGTTCATATGTTCACGTATCCCAAGTGTCACAAGGACAGCCTTGTTCTTGTGGAATAACTTGAGGGCGTCCTCCATGTAGGATAGGGTAGTGTCATCATGGGTGGGATACTGAGCCAGGTAGATGAAGTCTAGCAAAGCTCGGAATGTGAGCATGACGGCGTTAGGGATGCAGCCCACCAGACAGCCTAGGAGGATACGGGCCATGTCTTTACGCTCACTGCCAGAAACCTGAGATAAGGCCGATATGCCCTTCTTGAAATGGCGTGTTCCAAACGCTGGCGGGAGACAACGGATCCTAAGGTCCAGCTCCTCCTCATCCAAGAGATCCTCACACCACTCCACAAGGTGCTTGAAGACGCCTTGGTAAAGTTGGTGCAAGACGTCGGGGGTAACTGCGTGGTGGATGTCGGTATACGGAAGATCCTTCCAGAACGGCTTGACCACGTAACCAGAGACATTGAATTCTTTGCAGGCCTTATAGAACGTTGTGCTTCCCTTTCTTCCCTTGGTTTTGGCCTTCTCGAGTACGTCAAGGGTCCATATTTGGCGCCTAGGTGTCTTGGAAGAGGCGTCTTCAAGCTGAGACTCTGGGCACTGGCATACGGCACAGGTTCCGTACTTGGAGCAGGTCACCAGACACTGCTCTGGATAGTCTGCAACGTACGCCGCTAGGACTGGGTACACCCTTCGAACCTTTCCATCCCCCCCAGTGACGTCAAGGCCTGTCTTTCCTGCCTCAATGAGAGGCTCGACGATCATCCTGACGGAGGCGTGGAACAGCTGCTGCATCATGGCGCGCTGCTTTGCTTCAGAGAGGCCGGTAGAGTCGACTTTGTCGACAGAGAGGTAGCCTATGAGAATGCAGGCATGTTCTGAGGGTTTACGCCGAAGGGCCTTAGGTATATTCCCCAGCGTCATGTACACTGGATAGGCGGCCTTGTTGCCTGAGAACTGGGTAAATTGAGTTTTGTCGGTGGAGATAATGACCGGTGCTAGGGAAGCACCGTCAGGAAGCAGGCTCTGAGCAGACGTTCAGATCTCTCAACCTCTCAGCAAATATACACTTATGCCACTCACCTGGACGGCGTGCCACCACCTTCCAGTCCACATCTCAGAGTAAATACGGTTTTTCTTTGAGCGGTCCGTAAAGATACGGCGTGGACGGTATACTATCTTGTCGGCGTGTGCAGGGTTGCCAAGCAAGGCCTTGATAGCCATGATAATGTCACGAATCTGCACAAGATGTCGTTCGCCTGGGTGGTCCTTAAAGGTGAGCCATTGCTCAGTCCAGGTTGCTCTTTCAGGTATGGAGTCGACCTTTTGCAGTAGGGCACGCATGTTGTGATATGACAACCCTAATCTGTCTCGCAACTGTGCCCTTGTCAGTGATTGGACCCTTCTCCGAACATACCATACGTACCCCAGGTATGTTGAGCAATTCATCTACTGAGCCTTGACTCACACCCGACTTGACGCACCAAGCCGCCAGCTGCCAGTCCATCTCCGATTCAAATGGCTCCCATAAAGAGCGGGTCTCATCTGTTGATGCATCAGTATGGGCTCGTGGAGAACAAGACGGTACTATCACCTGAGCCTCCTACGCCGTCCTTGCTGTTCCTCTCTGCAAAACGTCTCCTCCAAGCCTCCTTCATCGTCTGCCCTTCTCCATACTCCTTCCCTGCCTTCTCATCAACCACCTCAAAACGGCTGTCATCATCATCGTCCAGGGCTAGAGCAGTACGTCGTCTCAGGGCTCCTGACGTAGAGCTTTCAGCGCCTTCAGGATTGCCTTGGTGCCCTTGACTGGGCCCGGCTACAGGGACAAAGACCAGGTCCTCAAGAAGTTCTTCTTCTTCCTCTTCTTCCTCTTCTTCTCTATCATCGCCTTCGTCTTCGTTGCCGTTGTTTCCTGCACAATGAGTTGGCATTGAACTGCTCCAAGTGTACGCCAAGGAGTGGACCTTACCGTAAGAAGAGGAACTGCCAGATGCCTGAGGAAATGGGCTTCCTTGCCGACTGGGAGAGTGGGCGCTGCTGGAAATCCTTAAGACTGAAATATCAACAGGTCTAAATCCCACTGACCTAGTAAGCGGCTCAGGCGCGTAATCCTCCTCTTCTGAGGATGTTGCTGCAGCTAACGGCTGGAACACTGCCTTGAGCTTTCCCTTCTTATACCAGGCACACCTCTTGCTGCTGGATAAATGGGACATAAGACTTGGGACGGTTTCAAACCACTCGTCGCAAGCAGGGCAGAATTCACCCCCCAAGGGACAAAAGTGTTGCAAGTGTTTGCGTTTGCCCATGATCTGAAACCAGTCCCAGTCAGCAAGACCAACAGCTGGTGCCACACTTGAATGCGTACGTGTCCAGAGTACTGTGGTAGGCAAACACTGTAAAAATGCTGCGAAAGGAAAGTCCTTTGACAGCTGGTTACACAGCTAAATCGGGTGCGAGTGGTCCCTAGGCGTCTAGACTCAAACCTTGACAAGCTGATCCACGGCAGCCTGACCCGCCTTGGTACTCTTGCCTTCCTTCCTCTCACGCTTAACAGGACACCGGTTGCTCTTCATGATGATGTTCTCTGAAAGTATCTCATTCTACTGATTCTAGTACGTCTGATAACGAACACCACGTACACTCAACACCAATACACTTGGCTAAGTCTTCAAGGGTGAGCTTCTCCTAGCCAGGAAACATATGTCAATGACACGTTCATGTAGGACGCCATCTCTGCACAAAGATCTTGAGCTGTGTGCCTTCGTCATGTAGTGATATATTGGTCAGTTGTCCTCCTTGCGTTAGAGTAGAGCGTCCTTAGCTGAAGTTACTAAATTAGGCTCAACGCGGCATCCCGCATAGAGCCTAATTAGGTAACTCCAATGCTGGGCCTTCGTTTCATTCATTAGTGAGGACCCTGCAAGATAAGAGGCGGCGTTTTGCCAGCAGCAGATGAAGAAGCTAGGCACTTACCTCACGTTCAAAATGAGGAAGCTGCAAGTGGGAAGGAACACGTTGAGAGAGGAAGGTAACACGTCGCTAGAGAAGAAGCTAGGACACGCCTCCCAGTCACAGGATAGATATTAATGTCACTAGGACCCCAGTTACCTCAGTAAGATAACACGTCGTCTTTGGCAAGGTACCAACGCACTCACTATACCTTCAGTCATGTCTTCTCGACACTCTCCGTATTGTTCCCTCCATCGTGAACACTCTACCCTTGCAGTGCCAGGTAAGTGCCAATGAAAGATGGCGCTCTCAGATGTCGCTCTCAGATCTCATAGCCAACTTACCCATGTATAGACAGTCTCCGTCCAAGCAGCCCCTCTACAACGTCAGAGGCAGAGTCTGAACAATCCAGTGCAGGAAAGCTAGGTGAGCATACGCCATTGACAGATACCTACGTCACGTACTCAGTCACAAATATCGTAGATTCAGAGGACCCAGATACAAGCTTCAGTGTTGACGAAGGCCATACTGAAGGACGTTCCAACTGCTGCGGCCTGGAGGATAGGCTGAAGGAACTTGAGAGGTCGTGGCTGCTCCTCCCACACTCTGTCAAACTATTTGGGGACTGGCTAGAGGAACCTCAGTTTCCTTTGATACGCAAACAAGAACACCGTGTAAGCTCTTTTCTTCTGCTGTCCTGGGCAGTCTGAACGAACCTATGTGACCTTTGAGGTCGTGTGTGTCTCTGTCCAGGAGTGGAGCCAAATTGTTCATTTCATCGTTGAGAAACAACCGAAGGTTGTGCAATTTTTCAAGTGAGTAACAGACGTGTTCATGCTATTTTGTGGTGCTGAAGCCAAATATTAGATTTATTTGGGACGACATGACAGAGACGCTGGAGGTCCACGGAAATATAGGCGCAGTCCACCAGGAGGCAAGCTCAAGGCTGGGAAAAATATGCAAGATGAATACGGAGCTATTCGTCAATTATTTCCCAGAGCTGCCCAAGACAGACGGTGGAATCTCTGCATCTCACAACGAGTACGATCAAGAGTTAGACCAGGTGCCCATGCAGGAGATTTCTGAGCACGAAGGTTCAGCCAAGGCCAGCGCTATTGGCTGTAACTTCACAGTAGCCGACAATGTCGGTAGTTGCCAAGTGCGCCAACCTTTCCCTGCCTCTCCAACAGCAGATTCCAGAGTCGACATCGCACCCCTCTGGAGCATTGAGGTATCGGACAAGCAAACACGCAAAGACGTGTTTGCTAAAGTAAGTATTCGGGATATGTCTTAAGCTACGCTAACAGCTAACCCTCTTCGCAGACCCATGATGCATCACTCATCAAAGTTGGCGGGCAGTATAAGTATGGCCCCACGGTACACCTGGTCCTTGACGTGAACGAGGCCCCACGTGACATCAAGTCACACCCTGAAGTCGAGAAGATGGAACATATCAGGGCTCTTCAGGCCATCCCTCGTCCAGAACAGGATGACCCTACCGTCCTTGACCCTGGGTACGTTTATGATGGGAAGGTAGTCCAGGGTCGCATCACTTGCACTCTCTACGTCTTCTACGGGCACGCGGATTTGGAGCTCCTCAGGGAAGGCCTCCGACTCAATAAGCCAGAGGAATGGTACATTGAGCAAGGCATCGCAGCGGTGAGCTGGGATTGAACTTCTCTGCAGTAACACCGCATTGATTACAGGTCAGCATATCTTAACTGGCTGGCACAACGCCAAGCACCTAGAGGACAGGAGGCGCTTTGACAATGGCTGCTTCAGCAAAGCCGTTGTCGGTATGCGTCGTACAGTCTTAAATCAGGGAGCATACCTCTGGTTCAGGCATGACCCTAATGCCACTGAAGCAGCTGCCGCTGCATTCCTAGAAAGGCTCCAAGTGAAGGACAGCAAGACGCCTCTCCCTCGTGCATCCACCTCCTCCTCCACGTCTGCCGTCACTTCCTCTACTGCTGACGTAGCCAACAAGCTACTGGAAGCAGCAAGGAAGAAAGCAGAGGACGCACCTGTCCTTTCAAAGCTCGCTTGGATAGCTAGCAGTGTCGCCATAGCAGCCAGGCAGGCAGCTCAACAGGTCGTCGAGAACTCTAGTCAGGACTATCGTGCTGAACCTGGGGTTCAGTTTGGCGACAGCACTACTATTGATGGTTCTGTTCTCCATGACTGGGCAGCTGATGACGCCCTCAGCGACTACGAGCGGCGGACAAAACGGAACGAGAGAAAGCGCCGGCGTTCGGAGGATGAGAGGCAGGAGGGCAACGAACTAGACAAGGAAGCAGAGGGCGCAGAGGAGAACAGGAGAAAGCGCCTTGCTCAGCTGGTGCTGAACATACCGACCGCTGTACCTTGGGTGGGCACTCTGAGCGTCGCAGATCATAGGGAGAGGGAGGCGGATGAAGCAGAGACTGCCAAATGGGAAGAGGAGCGAGTGAAGAAAGCAGGGGACGGTGACCCTAGCGAGGACTATGCCCCTTGAGAGGCTGTCTCATCTACGTTCTTCTTTGTCTGTGCTTTTGGTCTTGCTTTGTGCCCCTTGCCATCTCCGTGTTGTTGTGGTTCTACGTCCCGGCTGCCCATCCTCACGAATTGTTGTGTTTTATCTTTGTACCACCACCTTTGTACTCTAGAATCTGACAGGTGCACAGGAAGGTCGTCAGTGAATGCTCCAACGTACGCCGTTAATAGGCATCAGTGAGCTCAGGAGATTTCAGTTCATCTCTGTAGTGTATGTACGTTTTACGTGGCAGGCCCATAGGTCACATGGAAAATGTTGAATGTTGTACCGTCCTGTACGCTCACAGTGACTCGCCTACTTCCCCGGCGGACTCTCGCCAACGGTGAACTGCAGGTACGGTACCACACATCTCGCACCCTCGTGTCGTCAACGCTGTGCGCAACATGCATTTATGTTACCGCGCCCCGATGCCCACGGTCTATTCGCGCTTGAGCAAGCTTGTGGTCACCGTGTTTGTCGTCCGCCCGCCCGCTCGCTCTCCTGCCCCTCATCCACTTGTTTGATTGTCAATTCACTTGCTTAACCTGAGGCTTTACTCACCCACTCACCGCTCGCCCTGCCGCCCACCCGCCTGTTCGTGAGCCTGCTCGCTCGCCCTCACACCCGCCAGCTCGCACCTCCTCCTCGTCATCCCTACGCCTGTGGCTCGCTCGTCGGCCGGGTCTCAGAACACATTGCAGGGTTTGATGTTACTCACTCAGCATTTGCAACGTTCTTTGCAGGGTCCCACGTGTTTAGCTCTCCGTTCTCCATGCTCGCAACGAAGTACACCCCGCGGTCGATGTCGACGTAGCCCCATGCTACTAGTAAACAAATGAGTCTAGGCGCCGTGTACAGACTACGCGTCATAAATTAGAAGTCATGGCAACGGTTCTGATAAACGTACCGTGATGTGGTCATGACTGACGCTTTGGCCCCACCTAGCCCTCCTGACCACCTTGAAGGACATACTTGCGACACACTGCGCCCATATGTTGAGCTGGCTGTTATTGCTGAAGGACTCGTTGAGTGCGCCGCTTGCCATCGTCCTTGTCGCCAGTGAGGGCAGTACGTAGCGCAGGGTGTTACCAGCGGTCGAAAGCGAACCTCCTGTGTCGAACACGCCCTTCCTCCGTCCAATCGTGTATGGCTTCGAGCTGACATGTTTTCACAGGTCGCTCGGTGCACATCGCTGCACAAACATTAGTGCAGACACACATCTCTGCGTGTATGTCCTGGTCAAGCACACGTCAGCGAGGTGCATACGTGTCTGTGTCGATGGACACCCGCACTGCCTGACGTACCTCCTAGCCCACGTTCTCGCCCTCCAAATCTCGAGCCATCCTGCTCTTCCCGCCGTGGTCCCGGTACGCACGTCGCGCCCTCGGCGTGACTGCGCGTGCTAACGCGCCTCGTCCGCGGGCCAGTGTCACTGCGACACACGACCAGCGTGTGCGACTGCATGGGCCTTTCCTTGTCTACCTCCCTGCTTGCCCGCCCGCTCACCCACCCGCCCACTCGCACGCCCACTCGCCAGCCCGCTTTCCCACCCAGTGGTCCGCTAGCTCGTCCGCCTGGCCGCCCGTTTGACGGCCGTGCCTGCGCGCAGGACATTGGCCCCGCGGGCTCGCGGTCGCCATATGTGTCGTGCAACAGCCTATTACTGCACGTCGGTGCACTGTGTGCTCGCTGTTAGCGTACCCGCACGACACGGTACGAGTTGGGAGACATTATTCACGACCAGACGTACCTCGACTCTTTGCCTTCTCCGGGCCATTGAAGGACGAGGGGTTGACGTCAACATCAACGCGCTTGAAGAGTCAGGCAGGAGGTTAAAGAGATAGCAGAGCGGGTACACGAAGAACGAGGCAGTACCAGATCCGGAGAGCGTCACGAAGAGTCAGTGGGAAAAAGAAAACAGAAAACCATCGAACGAAGACATGAAGCGTCAAGCCACCGAGCGACCTGTGAAAAGCGAGCGCATAGGGCTGAGCATTGCTGATAGATTGCTGATAGAGGGAGGTAGATTGGAACGCCTTCGCTTGTGTGCCCGCCATCCATGCGTTGACTGCCATATCGTGTGTTCGGAGGTTGTGTTCGAGCGATGGGATGGCACGAACACGTGGTTGTCCGAACACAGCCCGACACCCGTTCCGGCGGTTGCGCAGCTGGCCGCTGGCCGGTACGGTCCGGGTCACGGGTCATAAGAACGTGACCCAGACTCCGTACCCAGTAAGTACTTGCGCGGGTTCCTACGACCGGTGCTCTGCACGGTCCGCGTTGGAGTTTCCCGACCCAAGCGCTTAGGACTTCTGTCGCAGATTCTCTGTAATAGCGACCCTCGAGCATGCTCCTTGGAGATTGTCCGCTCCCCGCCTGCAGGTATGCACACGACAACCGCCCGGACAATCAACGTGGCGACTGATTGACGTCCAGTCGGTGAGCGTCGACGTGCTCAGCCACAGTCCTTTGTGCCAGCTATCGATCACCGGTGAGTCGCAATTGAACCGTATACTGACCGCATTCGCAGATCGCTCCTTCCCATTCAATATTCAGTGCGCGCCCCAAACACATCGTACGCGCACGCATCCAGCGCAGCGACGCAGAGGTGCAACTCCCACCCCGGGCACACGCAGAGCGTGCAGGCGCAAGTGCCACACCCAGTCTCTGGATACACTCGTACCGGCGAGTGATGTGAGTGCTGGCCACTGTCCGGTCCGTTATCTGTGCAGTCCTTGTGGTCGCGACTCACCTCTTGTCCCAGGCACGGCCGGACATCTCGACGCACTGTCAACGCCGCATCCCGCTCGTAGCATGACAGAACTTACGTGCCTGGTTCTTCGAAGGGGCGGCGTGGCGTCTTCGCGGTACCTCGTCTTACTGGCAGACCTCTCAACTTCGGCCCCTTAAGGGCTTGTACGTTGGGGTGACAGGACACAAGGCTTCGTCGGCGACCGTCCAGAGTACCCGCCGGATGGCTGCCCATCGTTACGGCAGACTCGCAGGTAATCTTCACTCCCTGTCCTTCCCAGATAATGCCCGTCCTCCGCAAGGCGGGCGCGTGAGCTAGACGTCTTGCACGGCGCGAACGACATTCCCTCGTTACAGCAGTACACTGTCCCCGGACTTCCCTGGTAGCAGCGCAGCATTATCGCAGCACGCAATGCTGGGGTGCTTCCCGCTGTGGTCGGCCTCGTCTCTCGGTATCCACTGCCCTGGCCATTCGTCTTCGTCACCTGGAACTCACGTCCGCAGCGCGCTGCACTGCCGACGATGCTCCCACACTTCCGTTGCGAGTGGGCAACGTGTTCCGAACGTACAGTAACAATTCTGGATGGAGGGACAACGATGAGAACGAGGCCTACTGGCTGTCATGTTTGTGTGATGGACTCCGGCAGTACATTTACATGGAAGGAACACGTGAAACAAATGAATTCTCTTCCTACAGTGTGCATTATAGTTGGAGATGAGGTATCACTCACAGTCGCAATCACACGCAGACAGGAACCTGTAAGCCGCGACGAGCCCAGTTGCGCTCTGTCGCAAGCCCGAGTGGAGTGCACAAGGTGTTCGAGGTAATGAGGATTGACGCCCAGTGAAAAGCCCCGTTTTTCGGGGCGAATAAGATCGAATACGAGAAGTAGTCTCACCGGTGTACTTCAATGCAGTCGAATAAAGAGGACCTCTCTGCGCGCAGATAAGGGTCCCGCTATGCCTCTGGACGCCCAGGGTAGACCTGTTCTCGGCACTAGCGCTGCCGGCGAGAAAGACGGTGAGCAAACAGGACGGCGAGCAACAACGACAGGGTGTGACTAACACGGCATGCAGGTAGAACAGTGAGTGAGCAGGACATCAGGTGGGCAAGTCGACCGGCAGACAAGACGGCGCACGAGCAGGACAGCGCGCGCCGATGCCGCAGAGCAAGATGACGCATGAGCAAGACGCCGCGCCTGCCCTCCCGCTCGCTCATGATCACACACCCTCGCACTCACTCGCAGCCACTCGCCTATACGAAGACTGATTCGTTGGCGTGACTCAGGCAGAGCAGTCAAGATGCAACAAGTTGAAGTCAACTACTAGAGTGTACGGCGAAGTTGGTATCGAGACGTGTTTCGATAATGGTAAGCTCATTCTTCAAACTTAAGCAGCCTAACTGTACTATCAGATCCACAGCCGGCGCCCAACGCACATGCCCATCGTTCATCGGCACCTACAACTCATACGATTTGGCCGGCTGCTCAATGACGAGCAAAACCAATCGCGGCAGCGAGCAAAACAGGCTACAGCTCGCGATCAAGACGACGTGCGGCCAAGACAGTATCCGAGCAGAACGGTAACACGCAGGAGCAGGACGGCGGGCAGACACTGGGAAGACCGCGCACAAGCAGGACGGCGGGTTGCAGACGAGAAGGCAGTGACGAGCAGGACAGCATGCGAGCAAGACGGCATGCGAGCAGGACGACGCATTCCCAGTACCAGTGAGTCGACGCCTTGGCCAGCCGACGCTTTGCACTCATTAATCCCCGTCAGAGTTACAGGTTATCTAGTACTACTAGTAATAGTTATCGTCAGTACACATGTAATCGTACTCACTCGATGATATTCGATGCATACCACTTCCTACTGAACTGAACTACTCGATGGAATTCGAGGACACCCGATGGTCACCTCCATCTAATTTGATAGGAAGGGACTGCACTCGATGGCAGGCGATGCGCTGCACATATTGCTCAATGGCAATCTCTCTGATACGATTTCGGCAAACTTTGTGTCACTCAATAGTCTGAAAACTGGTTTGTACGAATCTCGGCGATCGACACACAATCATTCGATTGTATTCTCGCTCTTATATTTCGGACTTTTCACTGGGATTGACGTGGTGCGGGGGCTTTGCCTTTAAATCGCCCATCCTCAATTGGCGGACGAACGTGCGAGGACGTAAATGTGGCTCATGGATTGCCTACACGTAGTCGTCGAGAGGAACGTTGACCTTCTTCGCTGGCAAGACATGCTCCGGTTGGTCCAATGGCAATACCTTGAGCTTGCCCTCGACCTTGGTCGTGCGATCTGCACCGACAATCGACGGGGAGTGCAACCACAAGTCCGGGATGTCAATGAGGTCAATATTGATCTGCAAGTCGGAAGCGCTCAATTCGGTGAACCCCGGTTGCAATCGCCTTCGCAATCGCCTCGAGCCACCACTGCCACAGACCTCCAGGACACGCAGAGGTGAGCTCACGCCCGGTGCTAAGCCCTGATTAAGGTTGACTTGTGTGCTTCCCCAGCAACTTCTGGAAGCTATGCCAGCCCCAGCGCCACAGCCTGAGGTCCAATACCTTGGTTTCTACCGTGCCGACATAGGGAAGAGTGCAATCCACAAGGCCAAATTGGAGGAAGATGGTCTCGTGTATTGCGGATACCTCAACACTAAGGATTATTCGCATTTCCCTCCGCCACCTGCCCCAAAGGTCGAACTTAAAAAACGTGTGGTCATAGACCTCGTCACAGACAGCGAAGACGAGGCAGGGAAAGAGGCGGGAAAGGTGAGTGTCCTACATTTCATGCTTCAATGAGCCCTGAATATACTTCTCTTGCCCAACAGCCCACTTCCTCGTCTACTACTTCCACGCCTTCCTCATTATCTACACCTTCTACACCTTCCTCGTCTTCTGCCAAACGCTCAAACCATACGCGAAAACACAGCAAATCTACCCAATGTTTGCCGGAGAAGCAAAAGGTCAAGTGAGTGTCCCTGATTCAACACTCAGGCGTACCCCTCTGATTTTATTGTTTATTGTAGAGAAGGCGTTAGGCGTAGCCTGAGATTGAGACGCCAGGCAGGTCGTAGGGACGGCGTATAGGGTCTATATGGCTGATGCAGCACCACCGGACTGATTGTCTGTCCGTCTAACCAGAGAGGAAGAGGGTATATAATTGGTGAGGTGTGTGCTACGTACATGCGTGTGTAACCTTAGTAGATGTCCATACGTAACTACTCACAAGCATCCTCTGCCTGGCGGCGTGACTGTCCACTCCCACCTTGAAGCTCAATGACTGGAAGACGTACTACCGTCGTCTCGCCTCTCTACCGACGGTATGTGCTTACGCCCAGGTACCCGCTATACTGGTAGGTCACACCTAATTATGTAATCGCGCGGGACTCCGCGCGTCGCCCTTTTGAGACAAGACCCTCCTCAGTACTCAGCAGCTCACGGCAGGCGACGAACCTGTCGCTGTCAGACCAGACAGTGACCCCCCCCCCCTCTTGCCCGCTCTGCTTACTTCTGAGCGAAGCGTTGTCATCATCCAGACGTGCCGGGACCGGAGCCACCCAAGACCCACCCTCTCTGTGATTCAGCGCCTTCCCTCTGCATCCCTCCGTCACACCGATTCGCGCAGTGGAGAACTTGGTAACACGGGCAATCACTGCCAATCAGTCAGATACGCATCGTCACCCCGTCATGGTCGTACGTCCGTTGTTCGCCTCGGAAACCTTTTCGCGGTGCTGAGTGAGAGTCGCTGCTCTGAATACGACCCGGACCTGTTTGTCACTCAATCCCGGGTTGCCTGTTGCTCGGGCCACAGAGGCGTATGAACACCCATCGATATGCGAACCTCGTGAGTGTTCCGCAAGTATCATGACTGTCAAGAGTCGATACCGCCGAGGAGGTGTTCTCACATTCTGAACGTCGCCCAGCTCGGCGGGACTTGTGGATCGCGATCGCAGGAGTGTGGTTTGCGTCAGTTGAACTTGACGTATTTGCTCGAGGCAGACACAACGCTCGCTGACAACCGCAGAATGAACAGGGACGGTAGCTAGACGAGGGGTGCTCAGGGCTGATGGTTGGCAGGTATGAGGTGCGTCGTTGCCTTTAGGCTCAAGATTTCATTCTTAGACTTGCCTCTGGACACGAACGAAGTCATCTTCGTGTCTCGGGTGTGCCTCCAGCGACCCATATCCACATAGCTTGTCTGAGGGACATCGCAGGCCGGGAGTTCGCTGCGCGAATTGGGAGCCATCGCGTTGGTTCCTCGCCCACACATCCCTTTGTCATGTCAAAAGTGGCAGATAGAGAACACAACGTGGCTATTCCTTCGTCCACAACACGCTGCCCGCTTGCACTGATCGCGCCACGGTCCAGACGACGAAGCCGCACGTTACTCAGACCCCTGCCCCCGCCCGCCGTCCTGGTCCGCAGCTCAACGCTCGCTGCTCGCGTCCTTCCCACGCCGCTCCTTGCTCCGCGCTTCTCCCCATGTTCAGTCTGGCGAGCGAGTAAGTCAGTATCAGGAACCGTCAGGACGGCACTCACCTCCCTCTGGCACTCTCCACCAGAACCCCCGCCCCGCCCAATCGCATCCTCCCTGAGTAGCCCGAGACGAGCCGTTACGCGCTGTGTTCGTCGTGAACAAGGGGACAAGCTCGGCGTACAGACTTTCGTCCGCGCTGTTCGCCCTGCTATGCGCCGAGATACTCGACAATAGCCCACTACTTACAGCTAAGAGCACGTGTTCCCCGTGCGTTCCCCTGCAGCAGCGCCTGCTCGACAGCTGCCTTCGTGGGGAATCATCAATCTGACATCAGTGGCGGAACGGTAACGTACACGTATCGCCCTCCAGCGAGCGACACCTCGCGAACGGTGGACAGGGCGAAGACGACGTCCAGTGACGTTGTGTCAGGTACGTTGTCAGCCTAACACTCATGCTGGCATAGCGCTGACGCAGTATGCACAGGGAGAAGCTTGTGATGTGTCCCCTCGCGCGTAGTCGTCATAGCTAGCCCTCCCTCCTCTTGTCGAGTCGATGACTGCTGAGGTGGTCTCATGTATTGGGCTGACTGTGAACATCGATACCGCCGTCCGGCGGTCGGGCAACTGAGAGGTGAGCATTCTTTCTCATCTTTGTTTCATGTTCACTGATTGCTAGCGCCTCGTAGACGAGCCGGCCGAGCGATGTTGGCTCACTTGCCCCGTTGACTCATGATACTCATCGCAGTCGTTCCCGAACGTCGCGTGCTTGCACGTCGTTGACTGGGATGGTGGGCTTGCTCGTTGACTGGGATGGTCAGTAGGGGCTCGTGACCCGACGGCTGCCACTTGGGAGCGTCACAGACTCGTCTGTGGTCACTAATTCCTTTGGCTGTAGCGCGTCTAAGGTACGCCCCAAAGCGCGGGGAAGGACGCGTGCCGGCGCGCAGGGGCACCGGAGAGGGGAGCTCATTTGTCGTTGGCGGAGATGTACGTGACGTGGCGGGACGCTCCAGCCAATCCCTGCGCCCGCACGTAAGCTCCCCACGCCCGCCGGGCACCGATCCCTGCCCCACCCTCACGCCACGCTCGCACGCGCTGCACCAGCTATCCGCAACAACCGCTGCCCCCTTCGGTGTCCACAGGCCCGCGATCTACTCGGCCTCTAGCGTCTTCCTAGCTTACTCGCCTCTCCGGTCGTTTATCGCGCCATCCACCCCGCACTCTCCGCAGGCCCCTCTTCGCCGCTGCATCCCCCGGGAGTAGCTATCTCTCCTCCGTCTCACCGAGCAGCTCGCCTTTGCGCTCGAGCTCACCGCTACATCCCCTCGGGTGTAGCAGTCAGGACCACTCGATCTAGGCAGGGAGTCGCCCGGCTCCTCTAGGTCGTCTCGTCCGCCCCTCCATCGTATGACCGTGCTCCACGCTCACTTCCACCGACGGAACCAGTAGGCCTTTCAGCGCCTACTCGACGGCGGCGGAGGCTGCCGACTTCAGGCTTCCGGGCTCAGCATTCAGCAGCGGCGGCGGCAAGTCCTGGAACAGACCGAGTCCCATGAGCGCCGTCCACCGTGCGCTCTACCGCGGCAATCTCTCCACCACCATTCTCTTCCTCCAGCGCTCGGACATAGACGTGACCCTGCGCGACCTGGGGGCTACATCACCTCCGACCTCTACAACTCCACGCTCGAGGGCACGAAGCCCGCGAGCGACGACACAAGCTCAGCGGATCTACTGACATGGGGCGCAAATCGCAACGCGGCACTCGGTCTGGGCAACGGCGACGACAGGGTCTACCCAGAACAGGTCGTCGTGCGCCCGTCCGAGGGATCCGCGGCGAAGGAGAAGGAGAACGTCGACGCGCGATTCGCGCCCATCCGCGTGGGGCAAGTCGTCACCATGTCGAGGCCTCACACAGGTGCGCAGCGATCGTCCGATTCCGGTGTGCGGTGATTGATGGCTTCGCAGTGGTGGTCACGTCCGAGCCCCACGCGAGCCTGCGCGTGTGCGGCTTTGGGAGCGGGGACGCTGGGGGCCTGGGCAGCACACGCAGTCCAGCCTCGTCCTTCTCCCGCACTTCAGCGGTACGTTCGCCTCGGTGGCGCACCGCCAGGACCACACGCCTCTGGTGACCAAGTCTGGCAAGATGTACAGTTGGGGCCTCAACAGGTTCTCGCAGTCGGGCTATGCAGTCGAGGTCGCCCACGGCGCTAGGGGACGGGTAGAGGAGCCGATTCAGGTCACCGCGCGCAAGGTGGTAGGTCCTCTGAAGAACAAGGCAGTCTTGGGCGTCGCCGCATGCAAGACTTGAACACACTCGAGGAGGTGAGTCATGGCTGCTAGTCAAGGGAATGGGCATGCCGACATAAGAAATCCAGATCTGACCGACCTCTGAACGAGGAGCACGTTGAAGAACCTAGTAGCGGTGCGTCCCGGGCTGTACGGCCGTATGACCGACTTCTAATATTGTGAGCTGGCGGCATCGCTAGCGTTCGTTCCTCGCGCTTCCCGACGCATTTGTCGGTCCCCGCGTATGGCAGCTGCGTTTTTGAACCTTCTGGGCTTTAGTAGCATCCTTGGCAAGTGGCCGATATTCACGTCCCTACCTATGACCGTCCTCGTGTATCGTTGCTCGCGAGCTAATTGATTCTGGTTGCATGTAATACTACCCTACGGTGGCGTAAATACAATGCCTCAGCCGCACGGACGGCGATGTTTCTATGAGTGCGACAGAACGGGCGAGTCGAGCAGCAGACGAGAGTTACAGGGGGCCGAGCGAGGTGCGAACGGTAGCTGAGAACGCCGGTGGCTACCGGTATCCGGATATGGAAGGTGAGACCGTCAAGCGCTGAGACCAGAGCGTGACTGTTGACAGGACCGTGAATCTTTCGGAGGAAGCTGACGGCATCGCTAGCGTTCGTTCCTCGCGCTTCCCGACGCATTTGTCGGTCCCCGCGTATGGCAGCTGCGTTTGGAGCTACTGTCTTGCGCTCTCCCGCGCCTCGGCTGCTCGACGCTGCGCCGCACGCTCGCTGCAGGCTAGCGTCGACACCCACACTGGCAGCCGCAGCAGCGACGACGTTGTGTACGGGGGAGCCTGAGGAGGCTGTCTCAATGTGACGATCGTCTCGGTCGCACAGGCTCACACGTGCGAATCTTTCGAGGTTCTCCCGGCTTTGACCAAATATTTACCTATAGTATTAGATACCCCAACAGCGGTACGGGCACGGTGCGGGTGCAAGGGCCGGCCATGTGCGCCGCAATTGTCCGTGAGTGTGTAAGTAGTATAGGGCCACGGCGTTGCACGTTGCAGCCTCTATAGGATGTCGCTCCTGACTCACAAAAGGGCGAGCTTTCGAATGGTATGGGCCCTGTGAAGCCTAAGCTTATGGGCCTAGCGTAGCATTTGCGCTATTCTTAGAGTCAGGCCTGCCCCATCAGAGGGAGGATATACTTGGGATATACTGCCCGGTATTGTCAATGCACGCGGACATTTCCAGGTACCACGCTCAGACTCAGGCCGCATCTGGGATTCACGTCCGTAGCTCTGTATCCGGCCGCACAATTCTATTTGCAAAACCCGCTGCGCTCCCATGCATTCACGTCGTTGAATGGCTGCGGACAACGTATGTCATACTGGCATGACCATAGATCTCGCGATGGTGCTCTGCCGACGGGAACGTCCGTATCGTTCGGGCAGCCTGCATGACTCATCAGGAGTTAGGCTGCGCCCGCCGTCTACTTACGCGCTGACAGGAGCACCTTGCGAACGTCTTGCACTCGAGCACACCTGACACGCAGTTCAAGCGCTAAGTTGTGGTGTTCCAGGCGACGCGATTGATGCACCGCCATCTCCGCGATTCCGACGGCGTCGAGTGAGAGTCGCCAGTTATCCTGACTTTGTATTCTGAGAGAGGCGAGGCACGAGCTGAGCGCAGAAGCAAGGCTATGTGCGAACGCGGAAGGAGTGGCGCGCGTGGCCTCTCTAGCCTCTGCGCCGTCACTCCGGATTCCCTAGGCTTACAGAATCGCAGCTCTAGGAATCCTCTTCCATTCTTTTCCCCACCCTCCACTCCCTCAGCATCGCGTTCTTCACACCGCCACAGACGACTCGGTTTCGGTGGCTCGACGTGTTTCACTGCCCGACCTTAATTCACCGCGCGAAACCTGCTATTGCCCGCCCGCCCTAGCAGCTCACCGGTCCCCACAGGTCTGGGCTGTTGGAGTACGTGCGTAGCACGTAGGCAACCTACACCGTGAGTCGTCTTTGCTTTGTTTCACGATGCATAGCCTCGCATGTGCACCGCTTGCCACTGCGAGCGGCGCTTTGTATATGTTTCGCTATTGTTTGGTAGCCACCCACTGTACGGTATATAAAGGGCTCATCTCGAGCCTGGTAATGATATCCTCTCGTCTACGTTCCACCCGCTGTGCGAAGTCTTCAACCTACAATAGGTTATGAGCCCCGCTGTACAGCTCTAACCGAAGACTATCAAGACTTACCTTTTGGCACTAATCTCTGCTTGTTATCTTATTCGCCCTCTACTCTTAACTCGTCACTATGGCCGACATTCTTCGATACAAGATCGAGTCACTCACCGGCGCCGACAACTGGCAGACCTGGAAGGTGCGCCTCTCGGACATCTTGATTGACGCTGACATGTGGGACTACGTGAGTGGCGACCTCAAGTGTCCATCGCCATCGGAAGCAGGCGTGAAGGCAGAGGAGAAGGAGGCGAGGGAGAAAGAGATCAGTACCTGGAAGACGAAGGATCGCAAGGCACTTACCGCGATTCGGCTGCGGGTGGCCGATAAAGTGCTTATCTACGTCAAGGCGGCGCAGACGAGTCACGATGCTTGTAAGAAGCTCGAGACAATGTATGAGGCGCAGGGCGTCCTCGCGATCGTTCAGGCGCGCCGCAAGATGTTCCGTGCTGCATGCACGGAGGACCAGGACGTCGAAGAGTTCATTCGACAGATGACAGGTCACCGAGATGACCTGCTGACGCTTCAGCAAACAGTCTCGGAGGAGGAATTTTCGATCTCCATACTGACCGCACTCCCGGAGTCGTGGAATACGTTCACGGCGGCCCTTGACTATCGCACGGGCTTGAAGGACTCCGCGAAATTGATCGCTCGGATCTTGGACGAGGATCGGCGCGTAAAGTCTCGCGCCGAGGAGACGGCCTTGCATGGGAAGTTCCAGAAGTCGAAAGGGAAGGGCAAGCGACCCCTACCCAACTGCTGGAAGTGCAACAAGCCAGGATACCAGGCAGACTGCCCAGATCACGAGGGAGCGGCGAGGAGAAAGAAGGAGAAGAAGCGCACCGAGCAGAAGTCCAGCGAGGACAAAGGCAAGGGCAGCGAGGAGAAGGCAATGGTGGCAGATACGTCAGACGCAGGTGGCGACTACGCGTTCATAGCCACGGACACCGCGTCACACATGGACGGCGACCTCGCACTCGCAGCTCTTGATGCCGACGATTGGCTCGGGGACACGGGAACGACGGTGCATGTTGCGCGTCGTCGGGAGTATTTCTCGGATTACCGCACCACGCCGGGCGCGACGCTGAACGGTTCTGGATCGACTGCAGTACTTGGACGAGGGACGATCAAGGTCCATGCGGACGTAGATGGTCAGCAAAAGTCGATCACCCTCAAAGACGTTGTCCACGCACCTGCGATCCCCCACAACCTTGTCTCACTCGGACGACTGGAGGCAGCTGGCCACAGGATTGAGATCAGTGGTGGACAGTTGGATGCGAAGGATGAGAAAGGACGCACCTTTCTGCGCGGCAGCCGGATCTCGCGCTACCTGTATCGCATGGTCATCAGCCCAGAACGCGAGGAGAAGACTCACCTCGCGGCACACGTGCGCCCGAAGCAGTGGAAGACGTTGGACAAGTGGCACCGGATCTTCGGCCACATGGACGCCCGCGCGGTCTTAAGCGCAAGGGGATGGTGACGGGTCTAGAGATCGACGAGTCAGCACCGACGCACGAGCAGTGCAAGACCTGCGTGGAGGCAAAGCAGCACGTCGAGCCGTTTCCGAAGAAATCACTCACCGAGGTCAAAGAGATCGGCGATCTGACTGTCTCGGACGTGTGGGGACCGGCTCGGACCGCAGCAATCGGAGGTCAGCTGTATTATGTGTCATTCACGGACATCAAGGCACGACGAACTGTCACTTACCCGATGCGGCAGAAGTCGGAGGTGCTGTCGAAGTTTAAGGAGTACCGCGCAATGATGAAGACATTGTTCAATGTCGAGTTGAAGACCCTGCGGGCAGACAACAGCGGTGAATACATCGGAAAGGAATTCGAAGCCTACCTGATCGAAACCGGGATCACTCTCGAGACCACCGCCCCGGACTCGCCTGCCCAAAATGGTATCGCCGAACGGATCAACCGGACGCTGGTGGAACATGCGCGCGCGATGCTGCACGCGCGCGACCTGCCGAAGAAACTCTGGAAAGATGCTGTTCAGTACGCGTGTTACCTAAAGAATCGCTCACCTACGCGTGCACTCAAGGACAAGACACCGGAGGAGGTTGCCACGGGCAAGAAGAAGCAGCGAGAATAGGAGAGAACGTACATGTGTCGCATTGGCCTTCATGTGCGGTCGATGTTCTGGCCAGACCTCAGGGCTTGTGATGTACTGGATCACCTTGTGCTTCTGCGCTTCCGAGAGCCCGCGCTTCTTGCCGCCTCCACCCTCAGCACCCTCCTCATCACTGTCCTCGTCGTCCAGGTCAGTACTATCCTCGTCCGCCTCGGCGTCACCCTTCTTCAACGCCGCTGCCTCGCGCTGAGCCTGCGACAACTCTGCGATCTCCTCATCTGACGTCCCGTGTTCACGACGGTTCCCCTCCCCGCCCTTGCTTCCGAGTCCGCCACGCTTGGCGGGCTGCTTAGCCTTCGAAGACGCTGGCGTCTGACTAGCCGTACGTTTCCCGCTCGCCTTCCCACCGCGCTTGGTGCTCTCCGTAGCTTTCGACGGTGTCGCAGGCGTCTTGGGCTGGGCTTGCTGTGAGGTAGTAGATCCACGCGAACTCGATGCGCTCTTCGGTGTAGCGCGTCGCGCAGCTGCTGGAGTTGCTGGCGGGACCATTGGTGCTCGCTCTGGTACAAGGGGCCCGGGAGGGTCTTCACGCACAGGATTTGCAGGATGCCCTACACACCATGTCAGCGAATTACAAGTCCTACGGGAAAGAACATACCTGCTTCTCGCTGAACAGCCTGTACGGGATCCTGACGTGGTCCTGCGAAGCCGTTCGTTCGGACATCTCGCATGGGTCCTGGACGGTAGGGAGCTGCTATGGGCGGGGCGGGTAGACGGATATGGCCCGGGGGTAGCACAGCGTTGTGAGACGGCTTCGGCGCGAAGTCGAACGCGTTTTCGGGACGTACACTTGGGGCTCGAAGATCGCCTGCAGAGCCTCGTGCGTTGTTTGCGGGCACAGGGACTGGCCAGCGAGCAGCGTCCATTGGCGGCTGCGCGTCGAAGACACCTCGCTGGTCGAAGTTGAGGATGTTTGCGGCATTGGGATGGAACACGTTCGCGGCCTCGAAGTTGGGCACGTTCGCGGCATCGAAGTTGAACACGTTCGCGGCCCCATTGGGATGGAACGCGTTCGCACCATCGAGGTTGGGCGCGTCCGCAGCGTCGAAGTTGAACGCGTTCGCACCGTCGAAATTGAGCGCGTTTGCGCCAGGGACGTTTCCCGCGTTCGCGCCACCGAAATCGAACGCGTTTCCCGCGTTGAGATCCGGCACGTCTGGGACGCGCTCGAAGGTCGGCCTCGGTGCGAATGGAAACGCGTCGCGGTGAGGGTCGGGTGGCTGGGCCTGCAGCCAGTTGCGAGATGGGTGAGGAGCCGGCAGGTTGCGCTGTAGAGCAAGGCCCCCAGGGATTTGCTGTGCGCGAGGCTGCTGAGGGCCACCGTCATACGGCACCTGACCGTACAACGGCATGGACGATGTGAGTGCACTAGTAAGGCAAGTGCGTGTCCTCCTCCTGCGAGCGAGGGCGCTCTGACTTCAAAGTCCGACTCACTCCTATCCTAGGGTTACCAGATGCGCGCGAGCTCGCGCGCGGCCACCGAGCAACGCAATCATCCGGATCTCGTCGAACCTCACGACCGTCGCCGGCCAAGCTGTGGTGGCAACAAATAAATTGGCCCAATAAATTCTAATTGAGGAGGGCTAGAAGTGCACGAAGCTTGACGCCAAATCGGAAGAAATGATCTTCACCGGCGTCGCCGAAGGCAGCAAGGCCTGGCGTTTCTACAACCCGAGGACCGGCGCAATGGGCAAGTCGCGAAACTTAATCTTCGAGGTCGAGGGAGAGCCGGATGACGGCGAGGAATTGGACATGATTGAGTCAGCTCCTACGCGACTCGAGGGGGAGAGTGGTAAGGACGAGTCGGCTGCGGAGCAGGGGGAGCAGGGGGAGATGGCGAAGAAGACCGAGGGACCGGAGACGCCGAAAACAAGCGCCCCGATCGACGCCAAGATCGCATCACCCAGGACCAGCTCCAGACTCGCTGACAAACCTCGGACGGACTACCGGCAACTGCACACCGGCGCTCCGAGGCGACCTCCGAAGGCCACTGTCGAGGACGACACTGAGGCCGACGCTGAACTCGCACACCACCTCTGCTTACTCACGCTCTCTGGCACCGAGATGCTCTCGGAACCTCACACTGTCGAAGAGGCCATGAAGAGCGAATACTGGCCTTACTGGAAGGCCGCAATGGATCGCGAGATGGGCCAATTCAAGAAGCTCGAAGTCTATGAGCTACGCGACATCCCGGCCGGCCGCCAGATCCCAGGTATGGAAGGGATACAACGACGGGACCGGCCGAGGTATGTACATGCTCGGCGCGACTACGGACTGAAGCAGGCAGGGCGCGTCTGGAACATCAAGTTGAACGACGCCCTCCTATCACTTGGCTTTACACGACTCCACTCAGACCCATGCGTCTACATCCGGCGCACGAAGGACGATCACCTTGCCATCGTAGGAGTGCATGTCGACGACATGGCATTTCTCGCAGACTCAAAGGAAGATATGAAGGAACTCAAGGAAGAACTTGACACAAAGTTCGACCTCAAGGACGAAGGGCCTATGCGGCACTTCAAGTTCTTAGCACTCGAGATCACTCGAGATCGCTCGGCACGCACCCTCACGGTATCACAACATCAGTATGTGCAGACCGTACTCGACCGATTCGCAATGTCCGACTGCTCGACCGTTTCGACCCCGCTCGACACGCACGTCAAGCTCGCGAAGACGCCAGCCAACGCGGACACTTCCGACATGAAGACCAAGCCTTACCAGGCCCTCGTCGGCAGTCTCATGTACGCGGCTCTCGGGACACGCCCGGACATCAGCTACGCCGTCCAGACGCTCTCGCAATACAACTCGCGACCGAGCGAAGACCACTGGAAGGCCGCAAAACATGTCCTACGGTACCTCAAGGGTACGCAAGACTTTGCGATCACGTACGGCGGATCGAGCAGCGATCTGAACGTCAAAGTGTTCTACCGCAACTTTCGCCTCGAGGGCTACTCGGACTTGGCGCTCAACGTCTACTGCATCCACTACACACCGCTCGGTTTGCTCGGATCACCAGTTGCTATATCCATCACCTACTGGCTCTGTTTCTCCCTGTTGTGTCTCTATACATACCTGTCGCCCACCCATCGCCGCAATCAGACCTGGATCGGGATCCGTCTCGCCACCGTCTTCGACATCAAGAGCTGTGCCTTCTTCCTCAAACTCGCGATCCCCGGCATTTTTATGGTAGGAACAGAATGGCAAGTCGATCGATGCATCGCGATTCGCCGTGAATCTTGGTCCGATTGACTTGCCGCAGGGCTGCGTTTGAAATCGTCGCACTAGCGGCTGGGCGGCTCAGTTCCCTATCGCTCGCCGCGCAGTCTGTGATCATGACCACCGACCAAAGTCCGTTTATCTTTTACGTCTGCGCTGCTCCCACCCGATTGACACTCTGACCAGTCCTCAACACAATCCCGTTCGGGATAGGTCAGTCGCGTGCATCTGCGCCCGCTCGCTTCTAGTCCAATCGCGCTGACGATGAAATAGGCGTGGCTGCCTCCGCACGAGTCGGGAATCTGATCGGGGCACGAGACGCAGCGGGTGCGAAACGCGCGAGCCATGCCTCTGCGTTCCTCAGCGTCGTCGTGGGATGTGTCGTCATGACCGTCATGATTGCGACACGGAACGTGAGCGCATTCTCCCATGTCCCGGTCATCTGCCGCCTCATCCGTTCCGCAGGTCTTCGGTTTCCTGTTCAGCGACGATACAGACGTGGTGGCGCTCGTGAGCAGGGTTATGCCCTTCGTGGCTTCCTTCCAGGTACGTCATCCGCCGATTTCAGGGACCTATTCAAACGATTTCGTCTGCAGATCGCGGATGGTCTAGCGGGTTCGTGTGGCGGCGTCCTTCGGGGGCAAGATAAGCAGTCCGCGTCTCAATTAATAAGCCGCCAGCCTAACGCTATTCGTCTGCCAGGGCGTCAGCACCTTGGGGCCATGTTCAACCTCGTGGCGTACTACGTCCTTGCCCTGCCCCTCGGAATCACTCTGGCGTTCCACCAGCGGACACACATGGGCTTGCAGGGACTCTGGCTGGGTATGACATGCCAATTCCGTTCATTTGAATTGATTGAGCTTATGGGCTCGTTTCTCCTTTAGGCCAAGTGGTGGCGTTGTTTATCGTCGGCCTCGGCGAGTACGCCGTCGTTTGGTTAGGCACCGACTGGGACAAAGAGATCCAGTATAGCATCGAGCGCAACCGAGAAGAAGCGAAGCGCCGCCAGTTCCACGAAGATGCCGAAGAGCTGTAACGTCCCGGGCGGAAATTTCTCATATATCAAACATCTCATATGTTATTGGCTAACAATTATGCGTCCCTGGCTTCGCAGATACGATCCCCGATGTAGCAGCTACATAATAAACACGAAATGTATCCCTTTCATCTTACGCCTTACAGTCAAGACGGCCTATCCACGAGCGCGAGGTTGCTGGCGTCCGGTGAAAAGCGGCAAACGTGGCCAAGTTCATCAACCAAAGTATCAGTGCTCTCAAGTTTCTGGTCATGACTCGACCCAGAGGATGTGGGCGTCTCCTACTTTCGGTGTGCAACAATTGAAAGGAGTATCGGAGTACCGCTATTCAGTCGGTCTGGACTCTTCAATCGCCCGTCGCTCTGTTCTGACTTGAGCTGCAGACCCCCGAGCTACTAAGTACGGTCTGCGTCGACTTTTAGCTCATGCGGTGCAGAGACTCCGCAAATCCCGCGGATCGGAAGATGGCTGGCCTCGGATTAGGCGCGTACAAGGAAGGTGTGCGCCTCTAGAACTAAACTCACGAATTCGACCTTCCATCATCAGCACTACACTACACTACATTGCGCTTCTAGAGCAGCATGGACTCTTGGGAATACGAGTCGTCCAGTGCGTGCTCCAACTTGGTCGACTCAAGCAATCGCTCTCAGGACGTGCGAGCGTTCCTTTGAGAATTTTTAGCGTGCCTGTCAACGCGACGGTGATCCACAGTTCTGTGCGGATATGTCGGCGGCAGCGGGCTGGGTCTAGTCCATGCAAGGCTGTGATAGCGGTCTACTCGGAGTTTCCTGCGCGCCCCCAGGGTATTTATGTTACCACCGGAAACGGCGGAGCATGGACGCTAGCCATCTCGTCTTGCGCTGTATACCATACTGCTCATGTCTTCCGCCAACGCAGACGAGACGCAACCTCTGCTCAGCGTAGGCCTGCCAGTGAGATTACAGAATGCCTTCGCAGATCTACCGGTTTCGAACAGCTCCGTGACGCTGCTTACGCAACCGGAAGCCGGCCCGCCGTTATCCGTAGAAAGGGAAGGGCTCGTACCGCTTCTCAAGTCATTGTTGGTCGACTTGGTACCTGGTGAGGCGCACTCCACCTCTGCAGTTTTCAAAGGGAACTCAGTGCAACCTTTTAATTCAGTGACCTTATCATACGTGCTGCAGAATTCTATTCAAACTGTGTCGGTCCTGATCGTCGGACGTCTGGGGCCCCATGAGCTTTCCGTGGCAGCGTTCTCATTTATGTTGGCCACGATAGGTGAGAATACTCAATTGGTCGCTGTTAAAAAATGAAAATATGTGTTACTTCAGGATGGTGCGTCGCCCTAGGAGGTACCACAGCTCTTGACACTCTTGGTTCGCAAGCGTTCGCCGGAGGAGACCCGAAATCCCTGTCTGTTCATTTCCAGCGCTGCTTGGTTCTTCTATGGCTTCTGTTCATCCCCGTCGGATTTTTGTGGGCCAATCTAGAACCCGTCCTGTTATCACTTGGTCAACAGCCGGACCTGAGTCGCGACGTGCAGCGATTTATGACCGTGTTAATACTTGGGGCACCAGGATACATCGGCTTCGAGAGCCTTAAAAAGTATCTTCAATGCCAAGGTGCCTTGCTGTACTGATGCCTCTGTGACTGGGCAACCACTGACTCAATTGATGCTACAGGAATTATGCGTGCCTCGACCGTCGTCCTCATCCTGGTTTCCCCTGTAAACATCGGTCTCAACGTTTTCTTCGTCCACTACACGTCCCTTGGCTTTCTGGGTTCACCGGTTGCTATATCCGTGACATTCTCTCTTTGCTTCCTCATCCTGGGAATCTTCACATACTTCTCGCCCGCTCATCGCGCGAACGAAGCTTGGATCACTACAAACGTCGCCACTGCAGACTGGGGCGCGAACCCGGACGACAGGCGGTCCATCTCGGGCTACGCCTTTCTCGTGGGCAACGGTATTGTCGCCTGGAGCTCGAAGAAGCAGACCACAGTCGCTCCCTCGACCATGGAAGCTGAGTACATGGCCATCTCGTATGCAACTCGGCATACAATCTGGCTACGCGCTCTGCTCGCCGAGCTTACATTCACGCAAGACGGGCCGACGTCTATCAACGCGGACAACCAGTCGGCAATTGCATTGTCCAAAGACAATGTCAACCACTCGCGCTCGAAGCACATCGACATTCGACATCACTTCATCTGCGAGTGTATCCTGGCCGACACTGTCTCGCTACAGTACTGCCCTATGGACATCAACTCGGCCGACCTCTTCACGAAGGCACTCGCTCGCGATCGTCATCAAGGACTCACGACGCAGCTCGGCGTCTTACGGACTGTATGGGAGCTGCTTCGCGGCTTGGTTGAGGGGGAGTGTTGGAGTACGTGCGTAGCACGTAGGCAACCTACACCGTGAGTCGTCTTTGCTTTGTTTCACGATGCATAGCCTCGCATGTGCACCGCTTGCCACTGCGAGCGGCGCTTTGTATATGTTTCGCTATTGTTCGGTAGCCACCCACTGTACGGTATATAAAGGGCTCATCTCGAGCCTGGTAATGATATCCTCTCGTCTACGTTCCACCCGCTGTGCGAAGTCTTCAACCTACAATATGGGCAGAGGTTTTGAGCCGAGCAGCCGTCCGGGCTGCGCCCCGCACGTTCCCTTCGTTTTCTTGATCTCTCAGATACCTCACTACACACTTAATGAACCCTGTCTCCGACGACGCGAGGAATCGACGACTCTCAACCCTATTTGAGCATTTGCTCGTAGTACCAATGTACTCGTATATAGTACTAATCGTCAGGTCGATCCTGACCAAACTTGAAGCTACATAGCCGAGCGCACTGCAGTGTACGGAATGCCCATCTTCTGTTTCCTACATCCTAACTCAGCCTGGCCTTATCTTCACGGCTCCTAAGAACGAGTGCGTCGGGAAGGCCATCTCCACCCTGAAGGATTTAAGCCGCATTACAACCTCGCTCGTATCCTGCACACTCGGGGAAGACCGTGAACTGAGCAACCGCTGAGGCACTTCCCTTTAGCGTTCTCGCCCTCGAGAAGTCTACGTAGTACGTGTCTCCAGAACGAGTAACAGTACACCCCACAAAACGCGCTCAGATCCGACCAGGCACACTTCGTTGTCTGCAACTCGTCGCTCTCCAAGTTTGGCACGCTTGGCTTCGAGCTGAATCACTCGCTCATCTTGCCCGACGCGCTGACCATCTGGAGGCGCAATTCGGCGACTTTACGAACAACGCGCAGTGCATTATACAAGCCTGAGCTCGGTAAGAATGTGCCGCACAGAGCGAAGGGCCACGACCTCCTCGATCTCCTGCAGTCCTACGACGTCGCCATTTTCCGGGTAGTCTGGTTCCTCCGTGTCTTCGGAGGGAGGGAACGAATCCGTGAGTACCACTTCCTCCGCGATAGCACAATTGGAAATCATACGTCGTCCAGGCAGGCCTGCGCAACAAAATGGGGTACAACCCGTCCCAGTACAGCATCGAATGGGCTAACGTGGGCACCAACTACATGAAGAATCTGCTCGCGGACATCGCCATGCCAATTACACCCCGCCCCGGGCTGAACATCAAGATGGAACATGCTCGCTAATCCACAAGCCCATGAGCGTTGGATCTCGCGCTTCAGCTTCAGCGCTCAGCGCTCAGCTCCTGGTCAGTTCTCTCCGCTCAAACGTCGGACTCCAGGCCCTGATCCTCCGACGGACACGACAGCTTGGAGCTCCTGCGCACGTTCTATGCGGAGGGCCTGGCTGTTAACCGCACGTTCCTGGCATGGCTCGTGCAGCAGATGGGGACGTGCAACCTCGCGCAGCTGGGCTTTGTCGCGCGCCTGGCTGACGAATACATCGACGGTATGCTTATCAACCGCGCTCTCACGCATCATTTCATCGACGCTGGCTTGAACCGACTCAAAGAGGTGAGTCATGGCTGCTAATCAAGGGAATGGGCATGCCGACATAAGAAATCCAGATCTGACCGACCTCTGGACGCCGTATGACCGACTTCTAATTTTGTGAGCTGACGGCATCGCTAGCATTCGTTCCTCGCGCTTCCCGACGCATTTGTCGGTCCCCGCGTATGGCAGCTGCATTCGGAGCTACTGGGCGAGATACTCTCCACCGCGATAGCGCCTGCCGAGGGTACTCCGCCACAGAACACTCAGGCGCTCCAGCAAACGCTCCAATTGCAAGAGCTCTTCAAGGCTTTGCAGACGAGTCAAGCGCCGAAGCGAGGCCATGCTATTCCGCCACTTGCCTCCCCGCGTTTGTGGGAAGCCTCACCTCAGCGCTTTCGGATATCAAGGTAGGCCGGGACTCGTGCAGAAGATTGCGCAGAGCTGAATTGAATTTGCAGCTTCTGAACTCATTGACCGGGGGCACTGACTCGGACATTATCAGTGTCTTCTTCCTCGAGGACGCCTCGATCCCGCACCCGTGGTTTGCGCGCAAGCTCGACATCCTCTTAATTTGGAGCGTGACTTCACTGGTGGCGTTGTATGAAGACTACCTGCGATCGGGGTCCACGACCGCCTTTGAGTCGTGGGTGCATGTCGCGGCGAAGGACGGTCAGTATCAGGTCAGCCTCGCACTCGTCTCAGGTTCACTTCTCTTGACTGATTCAGGGGCACAGATTGGACAGTCTCCGACGATCAAGGAAGAATGCGAAGAAGCTTTCCGAATTAAGAGAGGTGACTGATAATGTACTTACCGGCGGAGACGCGAGCCGTCGTGGTGCTAACTCGCAGGGCTTCAGGGAGCTCTGCGAAGATGGAGATTGTCCTAGAGTTGTTGGATTGATGTACACTAGTTTGACGCATATATTGTATGACTATGAGCTACGTGGACACTCTTGGGAATGTCAAGAGTGCTCCGACTCCGCCTGAGTTTCTTGCCCGCGAGCCTGAGGCGTACGATCGAGCAGGAAGCGCCCGCACGACTGGGCGTCTTGCAGCTTCGTTTACTTACCTCACGTTCATGGCTTCGAGCGACGGCTACAACTTGAACATTCGCGAGCAGCGCAAATTCCTCTCTCATTCTAGATGGTCTCACATACAACTCACTGGTTACCCACCTCTCGTACGAAGTCTCGGCTTTACGCCCTTTGAACGACCAGTTGCAACCGTGGACGTACTTTCCACCATACTGTCCGCTATCCACCCACTACGAACAGCCTCGTATGGAATATGCCGGTTGCTTTGGCCCCTTCGGGAGGCCGAGTGATCAGTGCCGTACCAATGAGGGGCCGCTGTACCAGCCATCGCGCCAACACAGCGACCACTACAAGTGGTTGACACCAGCTCTGTCAAGCACACCGACGTCGCGACACGGAACACTACGCGCATGGCGACCACAACCACACAGAGGCAACGCC